TGTATATAATGGAGTCTCCACGAGGTATTCATTGGTCGATAAATACAACTTCTAACAGCCTTCTGTACAGGCTTTTTCGCGCATACGGTTAGATATTGACTGTGTTATGAACGCTGTTAACATTATACCGCCCATCTTTATTTCATTTCAATATAACTATTTGTTTTTCATATTTGAAGGAATTTGTTGCAGAAAAATCATTTCACCTGTAGAGTTCGAAACCGATGAGCATTTCCAAGGTCCTTCCGTAAAATACAATACCGAGTTAGTAAGCAGACCACAATAGACGAAGAAATTTTGACTATAATGATTGCCTATCATGATTCCAATCTTTCGATTATCCTTAAAGGTTCCATGTAACGACATTGACTGGCACACGGTTGTTTGACGGTGATACTGGAGCTTTGTGTCTATGACTTCTTCCGTTTAGAGGTTCTTTTGAGCACTTCACGCGCTATATAATTTGCGGGAAAATATGACGATCAAGTATGTGTCGAAAATAACTGTCGGCTTGAATTGACAAGCTATACAATTAGAATAAGATTCGGTCAACAGTTTAGCCATCTTTCATCCAAGTAGTTTAGCGGTGAAATCTGTTTGACTTAAATCTCATGCGTTGTTGCTATCAGTTTTAATTAGTTGTTCGCCGATGCCAATAAACGAAAAAGTATTTTACCTCACATTATCGTGTCCCGGTGATTATGTCTACCGGTGGACTCATTGATCTACCCAAACAGCTTTTGCATTCGCAAGTGTTAGACAGTTAATTACTTCATACACTTGTATAGTTCCGTATCCGTAAAGTCTAGGTAACGGTAAGGCGTACACTGAAACTACATTGACAAGCTTATCAGCTCATGTGGATTTAGTGTTTTTATCCCAACCGTGTCCGAATGATCTCCCTGTCCACCACAAGTCTTCTGATTGCCTTTATTTCCGATTGAGTCACTGGCATTTCCAACGTGTGTTGTAAATGTTTTTGCATTACCCTTGTTTAATGATATCTTCAGATTCTGGTTCACGGTGAACAGAATGAAATGCTTCGTTTGGCTGGAGCGCTTCAGCGTGAATACGAAGATGATGAAACTTGTCGTTTGGAATTGTTTACACCCAAGAATTGTGTCCCCGTCAATCTACGATTTCGTGGCGAGAAAATTGTCAAGGTATTAGGTAGTTTGGCTCGTAATTTGCCCAAAGAGGGTCAGTCCATTTCGGGCGTACTAGTGAAGAAGAATTTCGCTTACCACATTCTCACTCCGGGAGAATTGCCTAGTAAGTGTGATCCGATTCACAGTCATGCTCTCTCTGATCGGTCAGTGTGGCACATCTGCTCGTCGTTTTTTTTATCGGATCGCTACTAACACGTGACGAGAATTTAATTTGGCTGCTTGTACAAGCTTCTGTCTGAAATGCTTGACCTTTTGCAAAACAACATTCTTTCTATTGCACACACTTGCCTCTCGGTTTCACAGTTCTGGTCGCTTCCGCAGTTTCACACATTAGATTTTACTTAAATAATCTGAGCAATTAAATCCATGCTTATCTATTTAATTTGAATTACATGTCCGTAATATAACGATTAACTGTCGACAAGATCACTTCGCACCAGGGTCAGCCCTGTCGAGGATGATCTAGAGGTTTTATGCTATTTAGGAACGCGTCATCTAAACCAAGCAAAGTAGTCGCTTTACGCACCTCGACGGACGAATATTCAGCAACCATTTGACGACTGTGCATCAAAAAGGAGCGATTTCTGTAATTAATCAGACAGCTTTAACTCAGCAAAAGACCCGCTATGGAAATACTTTGCATTCTTGTAAATTCAGTAAATGATGAAAATCACAAGATCATAACCCTCGACTGGTTCACTTTGCTGAAACCAATATCATATCAATGTCTTCAATCCCATCTAGGTGAAAAAGTAGAATTTCGAATCGACTTCATCTTGGTAGACCCCCATCTGTCCCTTGTTCACTCTCCATCCCTAACCGTATCTGAAATCTCTCGAAATAAGTGACTTACAGCCGGGTTTACACGAGGTATCCATGCTCATTTCACTGTATCTGTGTTCTTGCCTTGACCTGGTGTTATCGAGCCCCCAAGCAAATCAGGAAACTTTTTTTCTTTTTCCTATGGTTTGTTTGACATAGTCTGTACCCAGACGAGTGAAATATAATATATAATACTGCAATCAAGTTAATCTTCGTACTGAGTGAAATAACTACCCTCAAAGGAAGACAAAATTGCCACTTACAACAGACAACACAACACAAAATAAAAAGAGAAAGCGGTGTAAGAGTCAATCACTGACGCCGTTAACTTCTTTTCTCAATTCTTTGATTGGTCATATCAATGCATTCGTTTGTTCCATACTTAATATCCAGTTTTGTTGTTGATGTTGTTCTACCTTGATGCAGATATGCAACTGCTTGTCAAAGTGCCCGAAACAACGGGATTAGTGTCATCCTGCCGAAATGCGACTTTTCTTACCGGGCTAGAATTTACCACGGAAACTGGGACAATTTACTCCGGAATCGTCTAGATAGTTCCAATAAAAAGAAATAGGTGATACTTTTATTCGTTTTTGCATCTTTCTATTGTACTACAGCGTTTATTTTTCTACGCAACTCAATGTGATGAGCAGTAAAGTCAAAGTTTTATTATGGGCGATTCAACAAAGCTAAGGCTTATCACGCCCCATAGGACTTCTACAGGATATTTTGAATAACTTCACATAAAGAAAATAATAATGATAATAATTTGCATAATCACTCACGGATGTCGAAAGTTTAAGTGTTCTAATGCTTTATCAAGTCACGATTTAAATAGTTCAACTGTAGGAGCACACACTTCATCGGATGGAGGAGAATTCGATACGCCGCACACCCTGACTGCAAACGAGTAGAATAGCCTAATGCCATAGACTCGAAAACGTGCTGTTGGGTAACGGAAAATATCAACCGAAGAGATGCTGTTTGGTTGGGACCCTTCTGTTTCTCTATTAAATCTGTCTGCCGAACTGATTTAGCTCATAACTCTACGTTTGAGTTCAAGGTGCATTAGCAGTATTTTCTAAACTTTTTAGGGACAACTACTTTCAGCGTTTGCTTGGTCACCCACCACTCATACTGTTCTGGACTGCCACATTTTCATTTCCACAGCTTATACGGAATTGGCTACAACTACGGTCAGTCAACTCATCTCTATCCCTTTCACCGGTAGTGCAAATCTGTTGAAATTTCACCTCACTTTGTTGGCTGGCACTGTCAAGCTGCTCGTGGAAGAACCTAATCTAGTCCAGTTTTGTGTTTTCGGTACGGTAACCGTATCATGGCGACCACAACAAGTTCACCTGGAGGTAAGCTGGTAACTCCTCTGAGCCCTTTTCACAATCGCTTGCTCATCCTGGCCGATGACCTATCGTTTAAGTTCGACCATTTTGAATCAAAAAATGCAATAATGCTAGTACTATTTTTCTTTTTTTGCTGTCTCATTTCTCTATTTTACTGTATGAAACTCGTCATCGAATGGCTGGGGTGGATCAGAAGTGCGAATCGTCCAGAAACCGCTCTCTTACGACTGAACTGCTAACATAGCTAAAAATGTACTATAAGTCGTAAATTTCACCTGTGTTTTTATTTTCACATATGAGCAACTCATACTCTGCTTTGTGTGTCCCAAACCAACGTATTCTACACACCACTGGAAAGTCCTAAATAGTTGTCTCATCCTTGCTAGTAATCAGCGGCCATGTATATCCATTGCGAGCTTGTGACGGCGTCGAGCTGGGATCTGAATTGTCATGATTCCCACAAATGTTTGACTTGAATTGAGTCATCAAAAGGCGGATGGATATGGATTATATGCGATTTCTGGCAACCATGAAACAGCTGCGCAGTGCTTCTTATGCCTATCGGTAATAAGTGTGTGTGTGTGCGGGGGGAGACGTTGGCATTCTATGTCGCATTGCCCTCTAATTATGCAGTTTAGCTCATCGAAGCTCTTTTGCTCACACCGAATCATAATGAACATTCCCCTCAACTAGCGTCTGGTAAAGCATAAATCTTTCAGTTCTCGTGGGTGGGCGCAAACCCTTTGCATAGACCTGAATCACCTTAAAATTGTTTTTCTTTCCGCCGCCCCCGCCCCCTCCGTTCGCATTCTTTGCTGATCGATGTTTGAATAGTGGCAGTCAAATCCAACTAACGATATGTACGCCGATGCCGTGCAAAACGTTGTGCTTCGCGCAGCCATGCAAGGATTACCTCCTCGAGGTGAGTTCACGTATTCTCGGTCTAAAGGCCTCCACATGATTCGAAATATTTGTTTTCCCGCACAGAACCTTATGTAGGTCGTTTAACGTAGAAGACTGAACGTCAGGTGAGACATCGCATACAAAAATCCGGAGTTTTCGTCTCTCGAACGAGACGGTGACCACATTTCGAACTTCAGATGCTCTTGTCACTCGATATATCGATTACAGGGCATTAAAGACATTCACGACTTCTGCTTTTCTCACAGGTGAAGTGGTCGGTGAATGTAAGATGTTTTTTCTATTTTAAATTGCTCTCAATCTGGCCTACATATACTGTAGTTCTGTGTGTGTACTGCGCGGAACAACGGAGCTCACACCTTCGCAGTTTGCTGCATCACATAAACAGTAGATTCAGTAACTATTTTCTGGCATGAGGGTATGAAGACCCTAACCAGGAGTCTGGGCCACGTAGGTGCCGTTAGTCTTCCTGGATGGGGACCTCGGGATGATCGTAACCAATGGTTAGTCACTGAGTAATATGGATGAGGGTCATTAACAGTGGTTTTCGTGCATCTTGCCGATTTATCTGCAAAATTAGTGCAATGAAATTCTAATTTTTCTCTTTGACCCTATTTTCAACCTTTCTTGTCCTTTTCTCTCATGTTCATCCAAATAGGCAGCCAAAAGGCAGCAACCAATCCGGGTTTTCATACCCTCATGCCAAGTCTCAGCTTGGCCGCCCTTAACTTTCTTCCACCCACTACCTGCCTCGGCGAACATCGCTCGCCGTGGCAACCCGTCTGGTGACATGCGTAACACATGTCCCGGCGAACGTAATCTATGGAGGTCGACTACTTGCTCCAGTGGGCAACAACGGTTACTCAAAACTCTGCGCCTAACCTCAGCATTGCTCGTCTGGCTGCCGCACCAGACTCGTGCAATGCTGCGTAGACAGCAGTGTTCAAACACCGACAGTCTATTTTAATCTTGTTTTCTTAATGATCAAGTTTCATGCTCCGCATAGCAGAGCTGGCCGAACTACCACGACGTACATTCGACCCTTAACAGACAGTCGGGTGTCACGGCGGCGCCACAAATGTCTCAAGTTGGCAAATGCCAACCGAGCCTTCTGTGTGCGAGCTGACACTTCATCCGTGATGCGTCCACCGGGTGAGATGTAGTTGCCCAAATAAAAAACCTTATCCATTTGCCCTATTACTTCCTCGGATAGAGTGAGGCTGGGTGCCGGACTAACCCAGTCTTGAAGTAACATTTCACACTTTGAAGGTGCTAAAGACATACGGAACCTGGTTACGCTAGCACTCAAACTATCCAGAAAAGTATGCAACTTATTTGCATTTTCGCTTAGCAGCACAATGTCGTCTGCGTACTCTAGGTCAGACCGTTTGCCACCTGGGAGTAAAGCGATGCCGCTATTCTCATACGCGGATGGGGTTATTTCCATAATCAAATCTATAACATAGTTTAATAGTCCAGAGTTCGAGTCCCGCCACCCATCTTTGGTGGTAGGCAGTTTTGCGGTCACTCGGTTCAATACCCCGCCTAACCTACTGTGGCCTTATGTAGTTCTTCACTCCAAATCCTGGGGTTTAGGTTACCAAATTCAATGAAGGAGCAGCAGGTCTGCGTGACTATGGTGTTCTGCCCCGTGTGTTCACCATACAAAAAATATCACTAATAAAACTCGAAAGCTGCGCCGGAAATCAATTGTGTTATGCATCAAAGTTTGGTTAATTCCCCATGACGTCAGCTAATCCTTACATCAGTTATTTTCTTATTTTACTGTTGTACGCTAGGTTTGCCTCAACTTGTCGAACCAGAAAAGCAGCATTTACATACTGCATTGGAGATCACCTTGCAAGACGCTTTTGGAACCCACTGTTTGGAAACGGATCAGATCGATCCGGAGGCTTCGTACGTTCGAGTCCGCGTGGACTCTCACGTAGCTGAGATTGACTTAGACAACTTGGTGAGTCAACTCCATGGTTTCTCTGTCTTTTTAACTTCCTCTCAGGAAACAGTATTGTGTTTCGTTTGTAATGCAAACACTGAGCGGCGTCGGCGGATACGTTGGTTTTCCAACCTATTTTTACTTATGTGTACTGGGTTTTGCAGCGATCAGTGAAGTTGGATTCATTAAGCAGAAACTAACTCTGGATGTGTGCAAGTTGCTACATACAACGAGGAAATTTTCCTTAAAAGACGGCTATCACCAAGTAGTGGCAATTTGTGCTCAACCTCGACCTCGATAGAACATTTGATTTTGATCAATTAGGAAGAAACGCCTCCTATTTTAGAAGGACAGATATAATCTGGGCCTAGTTCTTGTAATAGCCAAGAGTGATCAAAGGGTCAGGTTGCTACTTGGATATCTGAACGTTGTTGATTCTGATAGGTATGTCATGGTTTGTTACCATGTCCCATATTCCTCTTATATACGGAATCGTTTAGTAGCGCATTCCTTCATCTTGAGGCGACTCATTGACCGTTCCCATTTTCAAGAAAGGATCTCACAACGATTGCGAAAACCACCGTGGGATACGTTTGATCCCATTGGTCATGAAAGTATTAGCTTGTCATACTTCGACGTCTGGCTCCTTTATGAGAGACCAGCAAACCAAATTCCGGCTTGCCCATGGATCTATTGATCAAATTTTTACGTTGCGTCAGGTCCTTGAGCTGCATCACACCTAACGTCAATCAACAATTGCAGTGTTCCTTCACCCAAAAGGAGCCTTCGACTCAGTCAACCGCGAAGCTCTAATGGATTCCTTTCTTCGAAAAGGAATGCCCCAAAAGTACGCTACTCTGCAGAGGTCACTGTACTCACATACCTTCAATCCACTGAGGGTTCAGGACGAACTGAGTAGTTTGTTCGTCAAGGGTGTCCTCTTTTGCCATTCCGGTCAAATTTCCTCGTAGACCGCATTCGGAGAAAACACCAAGTATTCTCGAAAATGTAAACGCAGTCGGAGCAAAACTGTGCGATTTGGGGTAGGCCGATGACAGTCTGTCCGTTCCAATGTACCGCGGACGCGCAAAGCGTACTTGATAGGTTAACAAGTGCATTTGCCGCATTCAGTATGTGCTTTGCACCTTCAAAGTGCAGTGATACTGCAGGACTGGGTTTTGCCTACTCCCGCTCTGAAACTAAATGACCAGGAATTAGTTATGGTGGATTACTTTTCCTACTTAGGTAGTTGCGTGACCAACGGCGGTAGATGCAGCTAAAGAGACAGCCGCTCGCAGTTCCAAGGCTCCAGTAGCACATGCAGGACTGAAACACCTTCGGTGTAGACGTGACTTTTCAGTGAAGTTGAAAGGTCGTGTATATTGTGCCATCGTTCGTTCAGTTCTGCTGTATGGTTGTGAGACGTTGGATTTGCGAGTGAAAGATACCCATTGACTAGAAGTTTTCGATTATCGATGTTTACGTAGCTTAGCCAACGTGGGGTGGATCGAACGGGTTAGTAATGCGGAGGTAAGCCTTCGTGTATTCGGTAGTCTCTCAGGGATAAACCTGCTAGCACACCGAATTCAGATTAGTACACTTCGCTGGCTAGGGCACGTATTGCGTATGCTCAGTCATCGTCTACCGCACCGCGCTTTATTCGCTGTAACCGCTCCGGGCTGGAGGAAACCAAGTGGAGGTCAACAGATGATGGTATGTATGTACAGTTATATTGTGTACACTGTGTGTTGACCGCAGAGGTTCATTCTCTCTCTATCGCTCAAAGCAGGTCCGATACCTGTCCACCTTACGTAATACCGCTAACCCTGTATGCATTGCGAGTTAGGCAGTGATCAGTGAAGTTTGCTGAACGATGATGATTGTTGAAAACTGAACCTGTCCACCTGCTACCTGTACCAACGTTTGGTTTAGTTATTTCTCTTCCATAATTTAATGACCACGTACGGATCTACCACGATAAGAATGAGGTAAGAAGAGAAAACTGTCGATCTGAAACCGTCGTATAAATAATCGCCACAATACGCTTACTTCCTCGATTCTATCTTGTCCCTCTCACCCGCAACTTCACATGACCGAATCCTCCTGAGTCCCTGTTGTTTATTTGAATAAGCTTCCGCGATTTGCGCCATTTGTTTTCCCTCAAACTGACACGAGACTATCCGATCTCTGGTTGGTAATTTTTGTGATACTTTTTTGCTACGTGTTTATATAATTTCATTCCTACTGGGCATTCTAAAGATCTGCTAGATAGGTTAGCGTCACACCCCTTGCTGCAGCTAATCGATCGTGTTTTCCCGGTCCCGGATTGGAGAATAAGTAGTGAATCGTATACTGATTGAGCGTTGCCAGAATGAACACTGTGACACCGACGCTGTTATCCGCTGGTGTAAACTAACGGCAAGGCAGATCTTTCCCTTTCATTTTCCTTACATCTTTGGTCAATCTGTTGACGCTCTTGCTAACTACGACAGAGTTGCACTTTCAAGGAGATACATCAGAAAAGGACTAATTGCAGATTTATTTTATGCGAGGGATTTAAAATGTATTCCATACTTTTGTTTGGATGAAAAAATACGACGAATGCAGTTCTCCTTGACCTTCAGATTAGTTTGGCACTGCACAACGGTCCCTTTTTGCAGCTCGTCACCCATTCTCGGCTTTCCGGAGTACGTTGTTCGATTTAGATATCCCCGCGAAAGAAATCTANTAGTTGCCATTTACCTGCCTCTTATTTTAGATAGTGTTCTCCTTTGGGCACACTTATCTTCCGTATCACTTTCCTTATCTTTATTTTATAGACCGTCCGTTGTGAAACGAATCCAAAACTGGAGCATATCATCCGAGTGATGGTACATCGATTAAATCATTGCATCTCGGCCGTATGACGCACACTGTTGGCTTGAAAAATAAAATCTATCGATTTTTTTCTGTACCGTTTATCTATTGTGTATAAAGACTATAATGCATATTTTCTTACCTGTTCTTTGATTTCATTTATAAAGATTGTGGTATGCACTTCATATGATCTGAAAGTTACTAGGTCACCTAACCACGTTATCAGCCTAAAGTGATAGAAAATAAGGTAATGAAGGAAGCCTTCTACTGTTTGCAGAGAAAGATTTATTCTTCCACACGCGTCTGAGTCTAGACAGTGTGCAAAACTAATAATAGTACAATGATCCTTATGAAATAGGAGAAATTTCCATGATCTGTCAGTTTGCCCAGGCCAAGGTAGGAGAATTATCTTGGATCCACAACCAGAGCCCTCGGCTAGCCAAAGCCTGACCCTCAAGGCAATGGGACGGTGTAAAACCGCAATCCGTTAGTGGCCAGTGGCCAGTTCATCGGATCATACGCACTTTAAACGGTGTAGAACGTCCAAGGTGCCCAATAGAGCCGCCACCACAACCAGACAGGTGTGTGTGGTTCGTTCACCTCTTCTTATTTGTTTTGAACCAAGGTTTTTTGTCAACTTCCCTAGGTGAGTTGCCAGTGGTTCACTAACTCGTTTATGACTCAGGATGTTGGATTTTCATCCTCTCTCTTCGGTGGTAAAACACCCGCCAAGAGAAGGCAGTAAGTTGAGCTTCCTGAACGGACGTTAATTGAGACGCTTGATCGCATGTCAGCATTTCGTGAGGTGCAAGAGAGGGGTGACCAGCCGCAACCCGATACACACCCCGACTATACTGAGGCTTTTGAGGGCGTAAACAAGGATTACAATCGCAATGTTTCTGTGTCGATGTCCAAGACGATCTTGCTACATCTCAGCCAAGATTCTATTGCAGGGGAAATGCCATCTTTGAGTAGCGTTAATCGCGAATATCTAGATCGAGTATCACTTCGAGGGAAATGACTTGTAGCACCGCCATGACATCTTACTTTCTTTTAAGGGAACAATGAGAACCGCAGTGTGTTGTTTCACGGTTAATAGTGCTGATCAACCTAAGTGAATTTCCATTTTGGAGGGTTTCTAGTGTCTTCTTTGGACAATGAGTAACGAAGAGGTTTGTCTTCGTGTGTTGGATGCTAATCGTCCTGCTCTAAAAGAAGATTGAGCTTTAGACCTCTCACGGTTCGGTCATGTTTAACGTTTTCGTGTCCATTATCTATCTCTCCGTAATCTCCTTATATGTGCAAGGCTCGGGAAGAAGCAACCTGTCGGTCGAACCATCCAATGGAATTAGGGCTTGAAGAAGTTAGTATCAAAAATGGGTTCGGTAAGGGCGTCTCGCCTTCTGATTTGGGATCAAAGAGATGAGGACGACCATTGGTTACAGCTGCAGAGGGGTATGGCTCCGAGTAAATTCAGTATTGCGAATGATCGACGGTCTACTTCCCTTGCGAAAGAAAAAGTACGATAAAACAAGAAGCATTGTTGTTCTGTTGAGCCGGTTTATCCATCTTCATTATCCATGTTAGTACCCAAATCCGTCATTTATTATCATCAACATCCGGCTTGATGGTTAAGTGAAACAGTTATCTGCCAGTAAAAGGTAGGAAAGACCATTATGGGGTGAAAGTTAAGCTATCAAAATATTTTATCAGTTTCTCGTTCAAAGTTATTT